TCAAAGCACTGTTGGAAGGTTCAAACCGCAATTTGAGTTACCAAACAGTCTCCGATTTTGACGAGCTTATACTCGAATCGAACAGCTCGACGAGACAAATCCAACGAGCCCAAGATCATCGAATTCAGACATCATTAAGGTCTTCGAATGTCTAAAGAACGGTGCATGATCAAAGGATTCGATATCGACCGTTCATTCAAACCACTCCCTGTTCGCCCTTGATCTCACGCCTATTTACGGGCTATGCCACTCCAGAAAAACTATAAATAGAGCCCTCATTCTACACCAAGGGGACTCAAGTGAAGAGAGAGAAGAAGAAGAGAACGAGAAGGATAAAGGGGAAAATGAGATTCCTCACCTCCTTGACCACCGCCGCCGGAGCTCTTCCTGCCACCTGAAGACGCCGGAACTCTGCCGGATTTTCAGGAAACACCAGGAATTCGCAGAACTTTGTAAACTTCTTGGAAGGAACAAATTGTACTTGGATTATCCCAACTTGTAGGACTAAATCCGCCATTTGTAATATACAAAAACACTAGTGGAACTTTGCAACTGGGCGAGGCCCCGTGGTTTTTTCCCTTTTTGGGTTTTCCACGTAAAAACCTTTGGTGTTCACTTCTCTTTTCTGTTTGTGTGCGGAATACTCGTGCAACTCTAAGACGAATATTTATAAACTCTACCGCCGCGTATATTCTAGCACGCAACAAGTATAATGATCATAAATTAGTCATAAATGAGATTAAGCCACATAAAATGGAACATCATATTTTTTGGCTTAAGTAATTCTACGTTCACGGTTGCATCGAGATTAATGTTTCATTTGAGACGGATTTTTTATTGCTTCTTAAAGTAGCATTTCAGTACAAAAATTAAAATTTTGTACTAAAAAGCTATTTCAAGAAACAGTAAGTAAGCCGTCCCAAACAAATCCTAAATGATTTAATAACCTTCAAGATTCATGAAGAATTATACCTTATGTAAAATTGAATATACCGACAAGGATACCATCTACTAGAAAGAAGAAGGTTATATGGGAAGAATGAGAATATTGCTGCTTCAATTATTATTGCATCTTCCCGAAAATTATAGAACTGCTATAAAAACACTGTGATTGCAATGTGCTTGAAGGCCTTTTAGTAGCAAATTTGTAACAACCGAAGAGAGAATTTCACATCATTTTATGCTGTAACAATTAAACACGCCTCCTCTAGGCTTCAGCATTGATTCTAATCACTTTCAACGAAACAATCTTTTCTTAATTTATGTAAATGTGATTTATGAAGGTTAAAGTTTTGTTTGGGACGGCTTTCTTACTACTTTTTAAAGCAACTCTTTAACTAAAAAACTGCTTTAAAAAGAGTAAGAAAGCCAATCTAGACAAAACCTAAATCTTGATAACTTGTTAGCTCAGCTAAAATATTGTTAAACTATATGTAATGTAAAGTTCAAAATGGTTGTGATCAGCTGGCGATGGATGGTGTTCAGTGGCGATGGTGGTGGCCAGCGATAGGGCGGTGGTTGGCGACAATTAGTGATAGGGGTGGGGGCAGTGGAAAAGAAGCATAGTTGTAGTAAAAAAAATTTCACTCAAATTGAGAGAATTTACTTTAAAAATGAACTAGAACAATTTTCATTACATTTGAAATATTTTGCACTGTTCTATTTTTCATGAAACTAAACACGAATATTTTCAAAATCCCTACAAAAGGAACATTAAACGCCAACTTTACTTTCAACCAAATAGCCCATACGAAAGAAATTTAGGCTTAGTTTGAGACGACTTTATTACTACTTCTTAAAACAACTTTTTAGTATATTTTTTTTTTTGTAGTAAAAAACTGTTTTAAGAAGCAGTAAGAAAATCGTTCCAAATGAAACCTTGGTGATAATTGATTCATTTCAATCAATTTAATCATACTTAATTAATACAATTATGATAAATTTATTAATTTATATTTTGCTCTCGTTCGTGGTGTGAGTTTCCTTGAGGCTTGAGCCATAGGGTATTTGCCTAGCTATTTGCTGGCGAGTAGGATTTCACTCAGGTAGAATTTTGTAATCCTGAATATTCGAATTCAATAAATCCTATGTGGGGTAATCATAAAAAATATTTGATATGATGGATGTTAAACACTTAAACTCAATTAAATTATTTGGCTATATGATTTATATATTTTTTATGAAATTCTTAGGCTTCGTTTGTGACGATTTTTTTATTGCTTTCTAAAACGGAGTTTTAGTACAAAAATAAAAAAATTCGTACTAAAACTCTGTTTTAGAAAGCAATAAAAAAGCCGTCCCAAACGAAGCCTTAGCCTACATCAATCTTTAGTAGACTACCATAATCATAATTAGTCAAATTAAATATATCAATTAATTATTTATCAAGCTATTTAAATAATTGAGCTATTTAAATAATTGAGGAAACTTAATTAATATCAAATATTATTTTTAAATATATCAATTAATACAAATTAAACAAAAAATTACTTATATTTTTCTTAAATATCAAATATTATTTTTAAGATTGATTTCTTTTTTAATAAATGTGTGTGTGTATATATATATATACAAATTATAATGTAAATAATTTAATTAGTATGACCGACCCTAACCTGAATCAAATTGGAGTAATTTAGCTCAAATCAACTTAGCCAAATCAGTTTTCAAATTCATTCCTAACCCAATCTTAAATCTCAGCCTTCTTGGTTAGGTTAAATAGGCCTTAGTGGCTGGTTTCGGCGGGATCTTGAAGATCATTAGGCCCTTTTCTGTTCAGAACCAGAGAGCAGAGGCGAGGTTTTTCTTAATATGAATGGGTTCAAACTCTTGTTAAGCATTAAACATGACATGGATTCGTGTGTTATTTCATCTTGCTCTCTTTGAGAACTGTTTGACTACAAGTGAGATTTAATTTTAATAGTATTTAGTAAATACTGTAAATCTGAATTTAGTAAATTCGAAATGTGTTAAATTCTGAAAACTATTTAATATGTTAAATATTAAATCCTGTTAAATCTCGAGATATTTCAAGATTTATGACAGTTAGGAATTTAAATGTGAATAAGATAATTATAAATTAAAAAATAAATATATAATTAAAAATAAAAATTAATGTGTTATGAATTTAATAACATGTTAAGTACAAAGTACTCATTAATTATTAATTACACTATTAATTATATACTTACTAATATATTTTTAAGTTATATTAATTATGCTAATCATTTTAATATTTAATTACTAAATATACAATTAAGTTAAATTAGATAATTAAATTATGCACTAATTATACAATTAGTTATTTAATTAATTTACTTAATTATTAATAATATAAATTATATCAATTAAGTTAATGAATAAAAATTTATAGGCGTCTAGGGTTGCCGTTATCTCCTCTTTTCGTTACTGCTGTTCGGCTTGTTGCTTTGCAGGTGTATAGATTGCACGCGTCGCTTGTTCGGCTCCTTCGTGGCTGTTCGACTTCGCTCCTTCTACGACTTTCCCTTCCTGTCGGATCGGAAGTTACGACATTCTGATCGGAAGCAAGAACGGGACCTCGCTGGCTGTGAAGGTAACTTACGCTCTTTCGCGCGCATCTTCGGCTAAATCTCGTTAAATCCGCCGAACCGAGGGATTTAGTAAATCCGGGATTTAAGCCGTAAATCAGTAAATCCGGGATTTACAGAATCCCGGGATTTTAAGCGCGCACAAAAACCGTTTGGCTGGATTTAGCGTAAATCCGACTTAAGTCCCACGATAAATCCGATACCAAACAGCCCCGAGATTGCACGAGTCACTCTGCTCCTTCGTTGCTGTTCAACTTCGCTCCTTTCGACGGCGTTCTCTTCCTGTCGGATCACAAGTTTTTTCATCGGAAGCAACTACGAGAGCTCGCTCGCTGTGAAGGTAACATTTCCTCTTTCGCGTGCTTCTTCGGACAAATCCCTTAAATCCGCCGAACTACAGGATTTAGGGCAAAAAGAGAGAAACGGAGGGGAGCTCAAATCCCGTTTGGCAGGATTTAGCAGAAATCCTGTTGCAAAACAGCCACATGGATGCGGAGATGGAGATTTCCCATCTTCCGGGGAATGAACAATTTTCCTTGGAAGACATTGCTGCCGCCGTTCTCGCTAGGTTCCAGAATTCTCCACAGGAGGAACACCGTAATATCTGTGCCACAGTTGGCGCCATTTCTCTGGCCCTCAAGGAGCAGGGTCTGGCACTCACACCTGTTACATATTTTGCCGCCGCCGTTTCCTCCTTTATCCGATTAATCGGCGATCCATCTACCGCGGGTGGAGACCCAGATGTCGCAGCTATCATTTGTTTCATTTCTATCATACTCCCCAGAGTGCCTCCTGCCATTCTTAAAAATAAAGGGGGTATCTTTTCTGAAAGCTTAGCTCAAGTTTTAGGATACCGATCGCTTCCTGTGGATGGGGTGATTGCAGCGCTCAAGTGTATATCGCATTTGCTCGTAATTAGTGACAAGTCCAATTGCTCCATCATGTCACAACTATATGGGATTCTTCTGAACTATGTAACAGATAACAATTCTAAGGTATTATGTGGAAGCTTCTATTTATTTTTCTTTATGCGAAATGCAATGCTTCTCGACAAAATATACGAAAAACTCATGACGCATAAGCACTTATTATGTTGATCAAATAAATTTTTTTGCCAAGAAAAAGTGGATGTCCTTTTCTGCTGATAGATAATTATCAAATTGAACATTTTTATCTAAAATTTATCTAGATTCATTAAAATTGGTGGAAAGTCATGGAGAGTTACCGCCTGTTGAACTTTGGAAGAAAGGAGGAATGTTTGTCGCCAGAGCAGCTGAAGTTTGCATCTTGCTATGACAAAAATTCTCAGCCTTTATTCGATAGTTTGTTAACCAAATTCTTCAAGATGTGATTCAACTAACTCTTGATCATTGTCATCGTAACTTTCTTGCTTGGTTGCTTCACCTCAAGCTTCATTGACCTTTTAATATCAATTGACTTGTCTTTATTCAATGAAATAATTTTAGCCATTCACCATTTGTTAAATACAATATCCCTATTATAAATTTTGTCAATAATGGTTTCAAGCACTGTAACTTTTACCCTTTAATTCATTGAGGATAGTCAATGAAAATGCTTTTCATTGCATGTGGCTCACAAATGAAAGTGCATATAAAAATGCTTTTCATTGCTCATGTATCAATGTGATCACAAGGTCTACATCCAATGACCATTAACAAAGAGTAATTAGCTGGTATCCCACTTCAAGCTTCTTAGTGTGTATTGAAGCCAATGGTTGAGGATGAGTATCTGTTGATCAAATAAATTGTAATGCTAAACCTCTTCAGCGCAAAAGCTTTTAATCAATCTTGTATTACTTAGCATACATCTTACCTTTTCAAGAATCATCTTGTTGAACCTCTCTGATGACCCTTTTTCTTATGGAGTCATCTTCACTGTGTTGTGCCTTAATATCCTCTTTTCTTTGCAGAATTTTGTGAATTCATTAGCACAAAAATCAAGCCCATTGCTAGTCCTTCATTTTTTTTTTTTAACTTTTTTACAAATTTAACTTTCAACAAGTTGTTTACATTCCTTGAATTTTTTTGGAATGCCTCATTTTTGTGTTTTAAAAAATATACGCATATCTTTATTGAATTATCATCAATTAAAGAAAGATAATATCTTACATTACTATGTGAGCTTATTTGAGAAGGCTGCCGATGGTCTGAATTAATGTAATCAAGAACGCCATTTGTCCTGTGCACTTCAAGTGTGAATATGAGTTTCTTTAACTTATGTAATTCCTATAACATGATGCTCACAAAAGTCAAGGTTCTTTATCTTGTCTATACATACCAGACCTTATGACTCAAGCTCTTTAATTCCTCTTTGTCTTAGTGGTCAAGTCTCTTATTCGTTAATTGGGTTGCATTTGTTGAGTTTATAGTTGCTTTAACTGATCCTTCAATGTTTGATCTTTCAATCAAGAAACACACTCCACTATTCAAGATTCCCTTCATGGCAAGAAATGAGCCTTTATATACTCTTAAGCTTCCACCTTCACTCTTGCATTCATTATTGCATTTGTTTAAGACTCTTAGTGAAATTTTTGTTTCTCTTGAGCTCAGGTACATACCTCAGTTCTTATAGTTTCCATTGAGTGTCATCCAACACCTTGATTCTTATCTTGTCAATCTCCATGATTTTGCAAGTCTTGTTGTTTCCATGCATCACCATGTTGACATCCAAATCTTTTCTTGATGCAAACCAAGGTAATTTGGGCACATGTGAAAGAGCACCCAAAATCAAGAATCCATCCTTTGCACTTTAATATCCCTCAATAACCACAAGCTGTCTGATTCTTTTTCTTCTTTAGGCATCTTCATCTGCTTTCACGACACATCTTCTTCAATTGAGCTTCCTTGTAAGAAATGAAGCATATTTTTTCTTGAACTTTGACTTGGATATTGATTAATGCTTGTTGTTGAAAACTTGAAATCACATTTTTCCATTCTTCCATGTGCCATAATAGTATCACCAACATTTTCCTTTGATTTTTCAGTAATTTTTTGGAATTTAGGATAGATTTCACTTTTGGCATAGTAAAAGTGGTTTAACCATATAACTTAGTATTTACAAAATGTTTATACATTGTAGGCAAAGGGCTTAAGAGGATCACGACAAGATCTTCTGATAGGAAATACTAGATTTCAAGTATTTTCTAACCACTTTAGAAGCAATAATCAATGAAAACCTGCTGTCCACAACAGAATTCAGCCCCAAAACAGTGGAAAAATAGCAAATCGGAGAGAAAACAGTGGAGAAATGACTTGTATTTTACTAATAGATGCAACAGAATAGAAAAGACACAATTGATCCTCAATTCGAGAGGAGGATCGATCTCTCCCAAATCTCTAGACGCCGCTAGAGCCCAAAGAAACCTAAATCTAAGAGATCTCAAATTTCAGCCAAATTCAAGATGCTCAAACCCCAAGAAAACCAACTATTTAATGCATACAAATCAAAAAGAAATCCCTAAACAGTCCCTACATTCAAATTTCCCTCTCAAAGCCGTCAAAAACGCTTCCTAAAATGCTCTTCTTGAGCGGACGGCCCGCCCGATCTCCGCCTCCTGTGGAGATTTCGCGTATTACGCGAACTGCTGGTCCCATGCGGACCGGTTGGACCGGTCCAGTGGACCGGTCTAACAATACTCCCCTCCCAAAGATCCACCTTGTCCTCAAGGTGGAAATATGCTCGTGTTCCCGCGGAGGTGACCATCTTTGAGCTGACTGAATAACTTTTTTGTATTGCTGAACCAAGGGTTGCATAGAAAGAGAAACATCCCATCCCTCCTCCAATCTGATCGCATCCAACTTATGTAGTCCCACCACATAATCTTCCCCCTCCTCTTGTATGTCCCTAACCATGGTCTTAAATGATGTCATGGCTTTGGATAGCCTTGCATCTCCCCTTATAACCACCTTTTTTCCATCCACTATTAATTCCATCGTGAGTGCTCCCCAATTGTCCTTGGTTTCCTCCAAAGTTTGCAACCATTTCATTCCCAAGATGACATCAGTACTTCCTAACTCTAGTGGGAGAAAATTCTCCCTCACCTGAATCTCCTGGATGGTCAACACCACCCCTCTACAGATCCCCTGGGCTTTCTCCACCTTCCCTGTACCCATCATCACTCCATAGCAACCGGTGTCCACCAACTTCAATCCCAATTGGTCAACGGCTTGAGTGGAAATAAAATTGTGGGTAGTCCTACTATCAATTAGCACCACCACCTCACGGCCAGCTATCTCTCCTTTCACTTTCATAGTGTGACTCGAAGTAAATCCCACTACAGAGTTCAGAGAGATTTTTGCCACATCCAGGTGAACCTTCTCCTCCTCTTCAGATCTTCTCCCACCTCCCTTTTCGTCTTCCTTGTCTTCACAGACAAGGAGAACCTGAAGAGTTCGGTCCTTGCACTTATGCCCTGACATGTACTTCTCATCACATCTGAAGCACAACCCCTTAGTCCTCTTATCCTGCATCTCCTTCTCTGTCAGCCTCTTGAAATTTCCCCCACTCCCTCCTCCTACTGGCTTCTCCCGGATGGTCTCATTACTATTGCCTGATGCAGGCCCCTTGGGTGCTAGAGGAGTGGTCGTCATCCTGTAAGAGCCTCATGAGCAGTTACCTCAAGCCCCTCTTTCTGCTTTCTTCTGAACTTCTACCAACTGCGCCAGCTCCATAGCCTTTCCCAGGTTCCTCGGCTCCAGTACCCTGACTGCTGTTCGGATCTCTGGTTTCAGCCCCTTCATGAAGTTTCCTTCTAAGGCTGACTCTGAAATGTGATCCAATCTGCTAGCCAAGTACTCAAACCGATCCCGATAATCTGCCACAGTCCCTTCTTGAGTCAAGGCAAAGAATTGCTCATAGAAGTCTCCTCCCCCGTCAGTTTGGAAATGATCTAATAAGCAATCCTTGAACTCTCTCCAGTTCCGTATGGGCTCCCTCCTGTCACGCCATTGATACCATGCCAGAGCTTTCCCTTCCAGACACAGACCCGCCGCTGTCAATTTTTCATTGATACAATTGATCCTCAATTCGAGAGGAGGATCGATCTCTCCCAAATCTCTAAATGCCGCTAGAGCCCAAAGAAACCTAAATCTAAGAGATCTCAAATTTCAGCCAAATTCAAGATGCTCAAACCCTAGGAAAATCTATTATTTAATGCATACAAATCAAAAGGAAATCCCTAAACAGTCCCTACATTCAAATTTCCCTCTCAAAACCATCAAAATTGCTTCCTAAAATGCTCTTCTTGAGCGGACGGCCAGCCCTATCTCCGCCTCCTGCGGAGATTTCACGTATTACGCGAACTGTCGGTCCCGTGCGGACCGGCTGGACCGGTCCAGTGGACCGGTCTAACATCTTCATCCTCAATTTTATAATCAATGATCTTAAGATCCATTATGGCCTTACTAAAATCATCCAAATGCTTCTTGAGTGATTTAAATTCTTCCATTTGTTAGTCGTGTAATGTCATTTTAATGCATAATTGATTTTCAAGGGATCTTTTAAGGTACAAGGATTCAAGTTTCCTCAGAATGTTAATGGACAACTCCTTAGCAATCTCACTTTGAACTTCGTCTCCATTACTCAAGAGGATTGCACCACAAGCCTTGTTTAAAAATATCTATGTGGTTCTTTGCTTCTATCTTTTGCAATGCTTCTTCTAACATTGCCATAAACAATACCTTAAATTTTAATCTCCAAAATTGAAGTCATTTTGCCATGTGAACTTCTCGATCTTCGATCTTATCAACCTCATCTTTAGTTTTTGATTTTGGGTGCTCTAATACCAACTACAAGAGCAAGAAAAATGAAAGAGGAATACCTTTCAATACTCCTCGATTCGAAGTTTCAAACCTTTGTTGAAATTATTAATTAGGGTTTCTTTATTCCAATTAGCCTTGTTTTTTTAGGATTCATGTTTTTGAACAACACTTTAGAACCAATTTTGCTAATGCAATCTCCATTACTCTGATTATCCTTATGCGATTTCAAGATGAAATAGGGATCAAAACACTACAACATGTTTGGATTAATCTCTTGTGATTTCAAGACAACAGCAAGGGATCATAGAAAAATTGTAATATATTTGCGTACTTTGATACCAGATAAGCTTATGGGTAAACATAAAGTGGAAAGAGAGCGAGAGTGTAATAAAGAGAAATTTTTATTATAATTGATTACAAAACTTGTGTTTACAATATGACACCCTGGGTAAATGAAAAATTCATTCTCGATGCAACACAAAAGCTATACGATGTTAAAAAAAAAAATAGAGTAACTTATTGACTTTCAATAACCAATTTTTGGTGGTTTATTTGCAAACTAAACGACAAGCATAAACTAATAATTAGAGATATAAAATCATAATAACATTTTTAACCAATTAAACTACTTATGAATTAGACATTATATCTTTTATAAAAAGTATTCAAAGTTTTTAAAAAGTTCTCTAAGATTATATTTCATGTTAAATGTAGGTATATAATTTTGAATATCATATTAGTCATGTTGTAGTTGTTTAGACTTTAGAAGCATATTTTAACTGTTTTGTTCAGCATCTTTTGGTGTTTTGTTTGTTGACTCGATTATTATGTTTTACTTCTAGTGAACAATAAAGAAAACTCTAAGCTTTGACACCAAATATGATGCAGAATATCCTAGTGTCTGGGATTTCCTAATGTAGATTTAGGACAAGGTGCACAAATTATGTATGCTGGGTTGATTTCACAATCATTTCTAATTTGGAAGAATTTTTGTTCTTTTAAGTTTAAGACTAAAAACAGATCAAATTCTAAAAAATGATTATTTAATGTCCGTTTAAGAATCTTATTGTGAAATTATGGATTTTAAAAGAGTCATATGTTCATTGAAAGTCATGCAGCACTCCAAGATAAGGTTGTGCCAAATTTGATCAAACTCAATCACATGATTTGACTGATTACTAGATGTCCAAGAATTAGGTTGAGAAAAGAAGAGAAATCACCAAATAAAAGACCTAGGAATTATGCCAATACAAAGATATGACATCCCTTGAAATTTGAATATGCTAGAACGAATTTTATCCAACCAAAGTTCTATTGAATAAAATCAGAAATCATCATAGAATATTTTTTAACATGTCCCAGAAAACTCATATTTATAATCACAAACACCCTCAATTTCTAAATAAAAAATAATTAGAAGTTGTGTTGGTAGGCTCATCCCAAAAGGATTAAGAGTTTGAAATCCTGCATAGGTAACCATCCCAAAAAATTGCAGCCGGGAGAGAAACAAAACTGTAGGCAGAAATCCATTGTCAAAGAAATCCGCAAGTCACAATAGCAAGGAAATCTCATAGCAGGAAGTCATAGCTAGCAATTACAAGAGAGCGCCTATCATCTAGGAGAACTCAGAACAGATGGCTGCAAGGAAGGGAAAAAAAAAAGCCCCTGCACAATATGCCATCGGCTGAGGAGACCACGAGTTTTGCATCAATTACCACTTATTTTAGATATGGTGCTATATATTGTTGCCATGATAGAAACATTGAGCAAATTTTTTTTTTTGGGTTTGTTGCTTGATTTAAGAAAAACCAAAGTGAAGACTTTTTTTTTTAATTGTAATTTCTTGTAAATGCTTATCCTTCTATTGTTTTTTTTTCCTAACTAATATCTCTATAATGTTCAAAATATTTTTGATTAATTTTATTTTCATGCATTTAGCTTTACACATTTCCTAACCATTATTGGAGAATAAATTTACTTTCGTTATCTATTGCATATACACCCTATGCCTATTTGACAGTGACTTCCAGTTATTTTGTAGGCATGCTAATATGTTTCAAGGAGTTCTTTGTAGGTGAGAAAACAGTCTTATGCCTGCTTACATGATGTTTTACAAAGTTTCCAAGGATCTACAGTATTGTTATTAGCAAGTGAAGGTATTACCTCTGCTCTTGAGAGATTCCTACTGCTCTGTGGATCAAATCCTCCTAATTCAGTTGCCGTGGAAGAGTCCAAAGGAGCTAGAGAAGTTCTATATATTTTAAATGCTTTAAAGGACTGTATTGACCTGATTTCAATAAAATCTACAAACATTATTCTGAAATACTGCAAATACTTATTGGATATGCGACAATTAAGTGTCACTAGGAGTATTATGGAGGTTTTGCAGACTTTATGTTCTAGACAAGCTTCAAACTTTTCTCCTGAGTTCTTACTTGAGCTATTGTGCTCCTTGGCGCACTTTATACCTGAAAAGGAGAAATCAGCTGATGGCTTGGCATCTGTAGCACGCCTACTAAATTTGGGAACCAAAAGAGTATTTTGTTTAAATAGGAATATGTGTGTTGTGAAGCTTCCAATAATCTTTAATTCCCTTGGAGGTTAGCTTTTCATATGATTTTTCTAGTTATCCTTTGGGTATGTAATCAGGTAGAATGGTGAGCTATGTTGTTGACTTGTTTCTTTTATTGTTAGAAATTTTGGCTGGTGAGCACGAGGAAGCTATTTTTGCTGCGACAGAGGCACTGAAGAGTTTAATATATTCTTGCCTTGATGAGAACTTGATCAAGCAAGGAATTGAACAGTTAAACCTGAATCATGGAGGAGGATTAAGGAAGTCTGGTCCCACAATCATTGAAAAGATATGTGCTATTATAGAAGGCTTTCTTGATTTCAGGTACAATGCAGTGTGGGATGTGGTTTTTCAGGTCATCTCTGCTGCATTTGATCAACTAGGTATTGTTTCTCTTTACTGCTTTTTCCTCATTGATCAGCGGTGCAGTTAGTGAGTGAGAACAATATAACAAGCAGAGAGATGCTTCATATAAAACCAATAGTTTATATCCATTTTGATAATTTAGAATGGGATTCAAATCAGTTAGGAAGATAGTTCATAGTGCTTATCACTCTGCATCATGAAGTTGCTCAACTTATTCTAGCTAGCTTCTTACTAACAAAGATATTAAGTGAGAAACAGTCATGTCTTTTGTCCCTTCGGCAGCTGTATTGGAAGCATGTGGGTTTTAGGTTTAAGCTTTAGAAATTTCTTTTCTTTTCTTTTAATCTTTGCTGATCATCATTTGTGGTAATTGTTAAGCAAATATATAGCTTCCTTCCAAAAATTTTCATTTCCGTTTGATGTCTTCATAGAACTTTGTATTTAAGCATGATAATTGATAAATTTATCAATTATAAATTGAGCTGCTTGATAAGCTGCTTGTTTAACTTGATAAGCATAAAATGAGCAGCTTGATAAACATAAATGAACCCAAAACAAGAAAGCATGAATTTAAGCTTGAACATTATCATGAAAGCTTGAATCGAGCTCGAGCTGAGTTTGAACAGGCTTTGGCTAAAGTAGCTTGAGCTCGAACATCCTTTGGCATGGCTCAGCTCGGCTCGGTTCGCTTGCAGCCCTACCATTACATCTTCTAAATTGAGGTTATTTATAAGTCTGATGTTTGCGTTGATACCAATTTTTTAAAATTCTGTTTTAGGGAGACATTCAGCAGAGCTGATGGCGGGAATAATGAGAAATCTTGCTGATATACAAAGCTATCCTGATGATGAATTTTCTTATAAAAAGCAGGTCTGTCTGCACCATTCGGTTTTCAAATGTATGCGTGTTATCTTTTTCTCCATTTTTTTCAATGCTGTACTATGCTTGGTATGTGAAATAAATAATGCTGACCATATCGCATAGGAAGTTTGTAGGGTCGGGAATTTTGACAGGATTTTTTCAAGCAACTTGCCGGGTACACTTCTTTAATTTTTTTTCCTTCCTCATAGGTTTCAGTATAAGTGTCAGGTTCTTGGTGCAGTTTCATGCGTTTGTTTTTATCACAATGAGCTATTTTTATATCTGTTGGTTTGGGATATGCATATGAATGGATGCCATAGCAGAAAATCTATGCTTGAGTTCTTGGTTTACTTTTTGGCTGTTTGACTAGCTGAAAATTTGAGAAGTAGCCTTTTGTGTTTGATTCGAGTTTCATGAGGTAAAGTTTATTTATAGGCCATTTCCTTAAAAATTGCTTCAAAGTAAATGCAGTTAAATTACCATATTTAGTTTACAGGCATTTCAAATACACCAAACCGATTAACCCCTTAATGAGCTACTTTTATTATCTTTAGATTAGGGTATTTGTAGATCTCTATGATGTAATAGACATGCCATGGTCTTTACACAAATTCTAGATTGTGGAAGTTTCTATAGGAGCTAATCCATTCATTTCAAAAGATGCTAAAACAACATATTAGCAATCATTTGGAAATTTATTGTCACCGTGGCATTATTAATTAATTAATTAATTTGCTTCTAATTATATTTGAGGCTCTAGTTATGCTTGAGTTCTTCAAGAAAAAAAGTGCATCATAAGGCTGAAGGAATTTTTCAGCTTTGATAAGGGTACGATTGATCTTGTGTAGCATTGTTTTGTAACTTTTGTGGTAAACAGCTAGAGGGATATTCCGTTTTGGAGAAAATAGCAAAAAATTGAAATTAATGTCACAACTGATAGAAAATAATTTATTAATTTGATCATCTGTTAGATATTATTGCCACGAGTGCTTCAGCTTCGATGATATTACTTAATTCCAACTTGATTAAGGTTGATACTAGGGATTTAAGACATTTCCTAAGACTAGAATCTGCAGTTCAAGAACTTATGTTAGAGGTATCAAACATGTCCACTAGGATGTCTTTTTGTGCTTTTATGTATTTGTTGCTAGTGCATATGGGTGGTATACGATTGTTTTCATTTAGACGATATTTAGTTGTAGTGTCCTTAAAAATTTGAAGAATTCAATGCATGTATAGTTGCTGGAGACAATCCATGTCTTTTAATACTGCATGACTCATGTAAAGATTCAAAAAATATAATTTATTATTTATTTGTTCATCAAATTTTGTCTCATTATTTTGGTTTCAGGCTTCATGCGGATTTACATACAACTATATTTCTTATGAAATATTGAAAATTGTAACATTTTCAATGTTTTTTTGAGGAAGTCCTTAATTCATGAACCAAAAAAGTCGTCTAATGCTTGTGTGTTTGGTTTGAATTTCACATGACAGACAAGTTTTTTGTCCTCTGTGTTTTATGGTGGAAAAGGAAAAGTGTATTTTTTACCATTAATGGTACTTGGATTTCAATTGAGAAACCTAATGCTTATCATTTTGTGTAATTAATGTATTAAATATCTTCTTTCAAGCATTCTTTTGATTTACAGATTATGTGACCATTGTAGGATGACCTCAAAAAAATACGTTGGATATCTTTTGCAAGTTCATTCATAGCTTCATGGTCATATTTAGCAACATAAAACCATTTCATTCTCTGATAGTTCTCACAAATATGCCTTTTTCCATTTATTTTTGTTGATTTCTTCTTATTTATGTTACATGCTTAATTTCAAAACAAACATTAGTAGGATTAAGTTCATTAAATATGCAGCTTCATGAATGCCTTGGCTCAGCACTTGCTGCGATGGGCCCTGAGAAATTTCTATGCTTGTTGCCACTCAATCTTGACGCAGAAGATGTTACTGATTGGAATGTGTGGGTACTTCCTATTTTAAAGCAATACACAGTTGGCGCTGAATTGCATTTTTTTTCTCAGTACATTTTGGGTATGGTCAGCCTTTTAAAGCAGAAATCACTGAAGGTAATTATTTTTAATGGATTGTTTGGCTAGTTTCATTTCCCAAAGTAATGGTGTTATGCCATCCTGCAGTTGGAGAGAGATGGACGCATTTTCTCAGCTCGTAATGTAGAAGGCCTTATATATTCTTTGTGGTCCCTATTCCCTTCTTTTTGCAACTATCCAGTTGATGCAAATACTAGTTTTAAAGAAATTCAAGACATACTGTGCAACACGCTCCGTCAGGAATCTGAACTGCATGGGATCATCTGTTCGGGCCTCCAGGTGCATCCTATTTGATAGTTATTATATTTCATTACTGGTGATCTGCTTGGTTATTGGATTTTGTAGTGGCGTTTAATTCGTCTTTTTGGCATTTAGATTCTCATTCAACAAAATAAAAGTGCATCCCAGGAAAGATTTGACATGTCAGATGAGGAGCTAAGTTTTCCCGTGAGGAAAGCTAAGGAAATTTACACAGCAAATTTTGCACGGGAAAACTTATACATTTTGGGGTCATCTTCTAAATTTTTGTCAGTTTTGTCAGAGGTTTTCTTGGAAGCGCCAAATGATAGTGGTGGATGCTTGCAGGTATTTGTGATAATTAGTTTCCTTAAATAACGGTAATGAGGTTTGGAGGCGGTTACTCTAGCTATCTTTTATTGTTTTGGCCGCCCTCAGCTGCATATAGTGATTGCTGCATTTTATCAACTTTAATATTATTTTATAGCCAAAATATTCTTTCTTTTCTTTACATTTTATTTTCAATTGGTTTCCCGTCTTTTCTTGCAGTATACACGAGCTTAAGATGCTATTTTCTTATTCAGCATAAGTTCTATATATTTTATTAAATTATTTTATGCAGTGAAGGGTTAAATGCCTAATTTTGTATACATTGATCCCTCCTTATTCCCTGCACTATGGCAGGGGAGTCGTGCACTTGGCATCCTTATTTAAAGAACTTGGTTACAATCTATTTTTACCTATGTTATATCAAAGTTATTGTTATTCCTCTACGCTCTATTCTTTTTGCTTTCTCATTTTGCTTATTGAAGTGGCTAGAGTGCTGAATTTTTATGGTTCATTTTTTGGCAGTCCACTATCCATTTGTTCGCCTCTATATCAGATAGAGCAACTGTAAAAAAAATATTCAGAAAAAATATGATAGAGCTACTTAAAGTAACCAAACAAGTTATCAAATTTAAGGAATCTAAGGAGTCATCTTCCATGCAAGTTGACAATTTACCTGATGAAGCTTCTTTGACACGTGCAAGGTAGTTTATAATGTTTAATTGTTGGTCCTGAAAGATGGTCACTCTAACATGATCATCTAAATTTCTATTTCTCATTTCAGGGCTCTTAGGCTAGAATTGGCAGCTATGCTTGTCTCCGGTTTGGATGAAGAAGAGATTGATCTGCTATTCAGTGCCACTAAACCTGCACTCCAGGTTACCATTGATCTAATTATTGTCATATTTTTTTTATTCCTGAAATAATTGATATCTATGTTCTGTTTCACTTGCAGGATGAAGAAGGGCTTATGCAGAAAAAAGCATATAAAATTCTTTCACTTATTCTTAAGGTAATGCTTTGTTATTATGATGACTTAGTTTAGTATCTTCATTTTAGATAGAAAATTTGACTTCTTTTATATTCATTAGGAGTCTAATGGATTTTTGTCAAATAAGTTGGATGAGTTGCTTCAGTTGATCATCACGGCAACTGCATCTTGTCATTTTTCTGCAAAACGCCACCGTCTTGACTGCTTATATTATGTAATTGTTCATATTTCCAAGGTTGGTATTTTGTTTAAGGTTCTGCTTGGGTTCTAATGCAGTTTGTTTGGTACTTGTTTCTTCAAAGAAAATATTGTTTATTCTTTTCAGGAAACATCATCCGAGCAAAAGACGAGGGAATTCCTTAGTGCATTTTTAACCGAAATACTGCTTTCCTTGAAAGAGGTAGTGCCTCAGAAACTTGTAAGAATTGTCCAAATTACATCATATAAAACAGATAAGGCTATCATCTCCCATGCTTGCCTTGTAAAAAGTCTTCCACTGGTTGACTTAAAAGAAACTTTTTTTAGTGCGTAGAAATTATATATATATATATATATATATATATATATATATATATATATATATATATATATATATTCTGTTAATGTATTCATTTAACTTTTTTTTTTTGTTTTTTCACAGACAAATAAAAAAACTAGAAATAAAGCGTATGACTTGTTGGTCGAAATCGGACATGCATGCAGGGATGAAGAGCGTGGTGGGAAAACAGAAAACCTGCACCAGCTTTTTAGTATGGTAAGACTAATCGAGCATCTTTCATATATTTGGTCTTGTTTCAAAATCTCTAGGGACTAGTTCCAATGATTTGCCCATTTGTTTTTCTTTGAGCTAGTTTAGCAATCAACATACTAATCCGTATGTGCATCAAAATGCTATTTGGTGTATTTGAAGATGTATTTATTTATTTATTTATCTTAATCACTCAGAAAAGCCATCTCCTCAGCCCTCCTCAAATTGATGAGAGGGATAAACAATAATTTTTCTTGAGGTGGATTAGGTTTGGTTTGACCGGATTTCTTCTAAAATTGTTTAGTGCTTATTTAGATTTGAGATTGAGACTTTCTATGGGTGCAATCCCCCCTTATTAATGATAGGAGGGCAGTTTCGACTGAGGAGACGACTTAGGTTCAATTGTAGGCTTAGAGTTAAAATTTAGGTTTGAATTTATTTAATGGGAAATTTTTGGTCTGATAGAGGTAAATTCAATCGAGATCTCTTGATTCGATTATTTAGAGTGTATCATCGAATCAATTGGGTTGTAACACCCATATAGCATGATTAGCAACCATTGGGTTGACTCATCCAATTATCTCGACCATGCCAAAGTGAAAATATATGTGTTGAATAAATACTTTCTAGATTGATGTCTATTGATAGAGGGTTGTATTAGTTTCAATGAATGGTTCAGAGGAACAAAGTATGACCCCTTGGCATTGCAATAATTGAGGAGAGCTCAGAGTCATAGCATGATTATGAACTACCTGTGAGTTTCAGCTTGACTCCAAGAAGTGTGTGTAGGTACATGTTTTATTTTTACTTTGTGTTTTTTTAGTTGGTAGATTTGAGTTAGATTGGCGAGCTTATTAGTATGACTTGAGTTTAGGTTGGTTGTGGATTAAATCCATTAGAAAGTATAAATTTTGATTTAGTAGATTTGTTAGCTTTATATATTAACACTGTCATTGTCAGTTCCCAAGTCCTGGATGAGAAAAATGGAGAGTTGCATTAACTAGTCAACAACCAGCGTAAAACTTGTCGAATAAACATGACATTAATCTTTTAATACATTGTATTAATGCTAGGACGTTTCCTGGAAGCGACGCGCTGTATGACATGAATACATCAAAAAGTGTGCAAGGGTCATTGCACCGACTCTCGGTTACAGTGTTAAATAGGCAAGGATTCCCACATCATGGACGGATGCAGGCAAAGAAGCTAGTCCATGAAACTAGAATTATGATATGATCTTGGAATGTAGATTTTCTTATAGGCAAATTAATGTAACTAGTAGATATTATGATTCATAGGAATATAAATATTCTATGCATTTAGGAAATTAAATGTGTTAGAGAGAAAGCTAAGGAGATTGATAATTTAGGATTTAAACTTTGTTATTCTGGTAGGAGCTATATTAGAAATTGTATAGATGTGATTATAGATCAGAGTTTGAAAGATAATGTTGTAAAAATTGATAGAATATGAGATATAATTATATAGCTTTGAAGATTATTGTTGATGCTAAGATTATTAATATTATAAGTGCTTATGCTCCTCAAGTAGGTTTGAATATGTGCTCAAAATTAAAATTTTAGAATGACTTAGAAGAATTAATACAAAAGATACCTTTTGAAAAAAGAATTTTTATTGGAGGATATTTAAATGAACATGTTGGTAGAGAGATAGATAAATTTAAAAGCATACATGATAGCTATGGGTTTACAGTGACCAATGAAGGTAATAAAATTATATTAGATTTTGCTTTAGCTTATTGTTTTGTAATTGCTAATATTTTTTTTTTTTTAAGAAAAGAGATGAGCATCTCATCACCTATAATAATAGATATAATAAAACTCAGAATGATTATTTTTTTATAAGAAAAATAGATCGTTTAGATTGCTACGATTATAAAGTTATCCCGAGTGAAAGTTTATGTTCCAACATCGCTGATTAGTTTTGAACTTTAAAATGAAGGGGAAAAATATGAAAAATAAAATAAAACATTGTTATAGGATTAGATGATGGTATTTAAATAACACAAATAAATATATTATTAAAAATAATACTCAAGATCTTAAAATTTTGTCTGTGCATGAGGAAACAAATATTATGTGAAAAAAATAGCTAGTGATATCAATGTTTAAAATTCGTATTCGGGTATTGAGGCGATTTTCATTCGTAGGCAAGGCGTAAGCCTCAAGGCGTTTTGAGGCGTAAGCCTCAAAATCAAAAGATTGCGTAAACATAAAAATAATAATTTTTAATATACTAATGAGTGAATAATATAAAACATAAAAAAACATAAGATATGAAGTGAAATCAAAATATCCCAATAATAAGACAACATGAAATATAGTTCAACTCAAAATTCTATCTTTCTCAAATCCCAGTATTTTTTTCATTAACATATAATTCAAATTTTAAAAAATAAATAGCAATAACATATCACATAAGAACTCATAAGTCATCAGCACTGTCATCATTAAAGGGTTCTTCATTTGAATCATCATTATGATGAACTGCTCTCTCCCATTCCTCCTCTCCTATAGAGTCCAATGTCGGGCATTTACTTCAAGATTTATGTAAGTTTTAATATATATAGCGTGAGGCGTAAGCCTTATGTTAGTGAGGCCTCAAAGCGGGCCTCAAACAAGTTGAGGCACAAGCCTCATTAAAAAAACTCGAGGCGTAAGCATCGAGACATTTTTTACTGGAATTGCGCAAAGGCGGGCCTCATATTGCGTAATTTTAAACCATGAGTGATATTAAAATGTTACAAATGATGTGCTTGAAGTATCAAAACGAAAAGCTCTAAATAGTAAAAATAATTGGTGGTGGGATCAAAATATGCAAGAAAAGATAAAAAAATAAGAAGATTTATTATAAAAATGGTTTAGATGTAAAAACTATGACAATCAGGAAAATATAAGAGGCCCGTAAGGAGTCTAAGAAAGAAATATACGATGCAAAAATTTTAGCTTTTAATGATTTATATAGTATATTAGATACTAAGGAGGGAAAAAATATGTATAAGTTAGCCAAGCAAAGAGATAGGAGCAGTAAAGATTTAGTTCAAGTGAAGCGCATTACTAATGAAAATCAAAAAGTGTTTTTTTAGAAGAGGATATTCAACAAAGGTGGATGAGATATTTTGCTAAGCTTTTTAGTGAAGATTGTGAGAACACGATTGACTTTAGTGACCTTATCACTTATGAAAATTGAGATTTTTGTTTTGATCGGTGTATTAATAAAACTTAAGTTAGAGAGTCTTTAAAGAAAATGAAGTGTTAAAAAGCTGTTGGATCTGATGATATTCTATAGAGGTGTAGAAATGCTTAGGAGATGAAGGAATTTCTTGGCTTACTAAGTTTTTTATATTATTTTGAAGATTAAAAAGATGCCATATGGTGGAGAATGAGTGTCATATTTTTAAGAATAAAGGTGATGCACAAGATTGTGCGAATTATAGAGGAATTAAGTTAATGTGTCATACTTTAAAACTTTGGGAGAGAGTTATGGAGCATAGACTACGTTGTGATACTAATATTTCTCAAAATTAATTTGGATGCATGCCGGGTAGGTCTACTATTGGAAGCTATACATTTATTGAGAGGTTTGATGGAGAAGTATAAAGAGAATAAGGAGGATCTACATATGATATTTATTGATTTAGAAAAAGCATAAGATAAAGTTCCAAGAGAAGTGTTATGGAGAGTTCTAGAAAAGAAAGAGATTAATAATGCTTATATTCATGTCATTAAGGATATGTATATAGGAACTGTTACTTGTTTTCAAACACAAAGTGATTTGACCAAGTATTTTACTAGTTTAAGTGGATTACATCTAGGATCATCCTTAAGCCCATATATTTTTGCTTTAGCCTTGGATGTCCTTAACTAGACATTTGCAGGAGGATGTACCATAATGTATGATTTTTGCTGATGATATTCTTCTTGTTGATAAGACTTGAGAGGGAGTTGAAGGTAAACTTAAATTATGGAGGTCAACCTTAGAGTTTAAAGATTTTCATTTGAGTAGATCTAAAACCGAATACTTTGAGTGAAATTTTAATAGTAATAGATCTAGTGGGGGGATTATGACTTTGGGCGATGAGTACACGTTTTGATATCTTGGGTTTATTGTCCAGAGTGATGGTGAAATAGATGGGGATATTATTAGTAGAATTCAAGTTGGATGGTTGAAGTGGAAGAAAGCGTCGAGCTTGTTGTGCGATAGAAAAGAACCCCTTAAACTTAAGAGAATATTCTATAAGATGGTGGTGAGTCCTGCAATGCTTTATGGCGCAAAATATTGGTCATTAAAATAGAAACATAATATTAAGTTAAGTTTTGCAGAAATGAGGATGCTTAGTTGGATGAGTGACTTTACTCTTAGAGACAGGATACGAAACAAGCATATACATGAAAAAGGTTGGAGTAGCTGTGGTGGCAGATAAGATTACAGAGAGTTGCCTTAGATGGTTTGTTCACATAAAATGACGGCCTTCTGATGACCCAGTTAGGAGTATGAATGTATTAGATTTGGCTTATGATAAGAAAGGTAGAGGTAGACCTAAGAAGACTTGTTTAGAAAATATTATAAATGACATTTCTTTATTAGATTTAAATGAGAATTTGACTCTTAACAGGGCACTATGGAGAAAAATGATTCATCTAGCCGACCGCACATAGTGGGATAAAGGCTTGATGTTGTTATTGTTAGCCTTATATCGATCCAAATTGATTGAGATTACACTTGTAGGAAGGCCCATTCTCTTAGGTTTCTGAGACTTCTTGCTTTATTTGCATGTTGCGTAGAAAGTCTGGGATTTAGTCTTGGCTTTTGGCATGAACACGCCTGAGATTGACTACTTAAATATTGGAATGTAGTTAAGAGAATGGGTCTTACAAACTTTCCCTATTGGCAAGGCAACCCGTATAAGGTGTTCTATAACCTCTCCTTGCAGAAAAGATAGTCTGTTGATTATTTAAATGGAATGGTGTGAGCTCAAGTGGTGGACTTCTCAAACAGGGCTTTTATTACACTTTTTTTTTTCACTTTTAGTAAGCAAAACACACATACTTTGGAAATAAGAAAATTTAATGTTTTATTATTATTATTATATCTTCCTTTCATTCTTTCTTTAAATGTAGTTAAGAGAATGGCAACATTGAAAAGGGACAGCTCCCAATAGTTTTTGCTGGTGTTTTCATTTTCTTAAAAACAATGAGGTGTGCACTGGCAGATGCCATAATAGATAACAGTATGATTTACGCCATAGCAAAGGCTACAAGGCTCACCACGACTTGTTGAAATTCAATTTTCTTCGGAGATTCTCATAGTTTTGATTTAATTAAAAATAGAAGCTTTAGTTTTAATCATGAATAATTATTGAATGTAAATGTAAGAATTAACTTTGAATTAGGTTACTTCAGACTTAGGCATATTAAGTTTAGTTTACCATAAGTGTTTTAGAACAGTTTTCATGCTGATTAGACTTGAAGTCGTGCAAATACCTGATTTTTTTTTTTTGAGCTCAGTTATTTTCTTTATTAGTGAGATGAGTGTGTTGTCAAAAGTTGCAATTGCTATAACTAACAAAATATTAATTTCTCTGACCACTCAGGTTGCTGGAGGTCTGATTAGTGAAAGACCACATATGGTCAGTGCTGCTGTCAAAGGTCTAGCTCGCTTGGCATATGAGTTTTCTGATCTCTTAAGTTCTGCCTACAAGTTGCTCCCATCTTCATTTCTCCTATTACAGAGGAAAAATCGTGAAATAATCAAAGTAACCTTGCTTTTCCTTGTTATATTTCTTATCAAATATTTTTCTTAGGTCATTATCTAATAAATAAATGCTTGCATCCTCTGGCCGCATATTTGCTAAAAAGAAATTTCTGCAAAATTTTGAATTGTTTCTCATCACAGGCTAATTTAGGTTTGATCAAAGTATTGGTTGCAAAATCTAAAGCTGATGGTTTGGAAACACATTTGAAGGGTATAGTTGAAGGTTTGTTGAAATGGAGAGATGAGACTAAAAATCAATTTAAAGCGAAGGTATGATTTTCTATATTTGATAATGTATACTAAATTAGTTATGGTCTATTATCTTGGGCACACCGTTTTGCATTAGGACACACATTGCAAAGGTTGGTTTAGATTAACTTATTGGAAATTACATTTTCTGACATGTATTTATAAGTTGTTTCCCTTGATTATTTTGGATAAGATGCTGAAATTGTGATGCGGGCCACCGCCGACGCCGACCGCAGAGGGAGGGCCGGCTACCCCGCGGCGCACGGAAGCAGCCGGAACGGGCGCCGCGCCGTTCGATCCGCCGAAGCAGGGACGCGGGAGGGGGACGCGGAGCGGGACGGGGCCGATCGGCTTGAGCGGAACCGGTCCATTTCTGGACCGGTTTGGCTCAGGTCTAGCCTGAGCTGGGCGGTTCAGTTTGGGCAGCCCACTAGTGGGTTTGGTTGGGTCTTTTGC